CTATACATATTACAATAAATTTGCAAATCGTGCAATGAGCTAAGATATAATAACACTAAATTAAATAAAATACTTTTGTTTTGTTTTGTTTTTGTGGTCGTCGAAATGTTTATTTTTGAATTTACTCTTATAATTTGAAATGCATGGCATCAACAGCATGAAATGCAGTTTGCAGTGAACATATTAGGACAATGAATTTCGAAAATTTGAGCAGACGCAAGAATTTTGTTGAAGGCACTTAAAAAACAATGAAAATGAAGGACAACGACCAGAGAAACTAGCGGAGCATCCTGGGATCGTTGTACTGCTGTCTTTTGGCCAAGGCTAGGTGGCACCAGGCGCGCGCAGCTTTCAGGACCATATCCGGTCCTATCAAGCGTTTCCCATGCTTTGCGCAATATGCGTGCAAGAATCTAATATAGGCTTTATTTAGAGTATAGCTTATCTGGGGCTTCTTTTTCTTTATGCCCGCACGGGCGATGCTTTTGCGCTTCACAGCATTGCTGTCACGCTTCTTAGCGCTATTCGGTTTGGGTCGCGAGCGACATTTGGGCTTTTGATCCAAGTGCAAATTCTGCAACTCCTATATTTTATTTATATATATTGATTGTCTGTATTTAACTGAATGCGATGCACTTACCGAAGTAGTCAAAGAAGTTTCTACTTCCATAGCTACTGAATTATTTTCACAATTTTCAGCTGAATTATTATCGTTTTCCATTATAAATATTTTTTGAAAATTACACTTAGCTCTACACGATATGAGAAACGATTGTGTACTGAACTAAATTCAGTAAAATCAGCCACAGTTGCCCGCCTACAGGAAGTCGAATGCAAAGCCTACTTTGCCTGCAAAATTATCTAAGCTGAGTTTATCTCACATACTCTCGCTCAATTTGGAGCCAGGCATGCATTAGGAATAGCTATTGAAATACTCTTTTCGTTTTGAGTCAGAAGTGCCTTACAGATTATTTCAGTTCAGTTTTGCATAAGAGTAATGAATATCTAATGGAATACTCTTCCTGTCTCGAGTCAGGCATTCTTTGTAGATGAGTTAGGCATAGCTATTGAAGTGGTGGTGCCACTGTGGATTCTCGATCTTGAGCTCATGCTCCGGCGTGGCGTTAAGTGGCGAGCCGCACTTTTCCGCTCAATTCAACAAAATGCCGCATTTCCTGCACCTACGTACGTGCTCGTCCAGTCAGACATGGAGCGCCCAAGAAACCTAAGAGAGAGAGAGAGAGGGAGAGAGAAAGAGGGGAGTGCTAGAGCGGGCGAGTAATGGCGCAAGGGAGATAGAGCATATGCGGAGATTATGTATTCAGCAATGCATGAAGTTTAAAAAGTTTCAAGCGCATAAGCCACAATGGCCACGTCTCTCCAGGCTTGACATTTATTATCTGCCGGTTTGGCCCAAAATGAAGTTGTGGCTGCTTTCGTCTTCCAAACGTTGCCACATACGCACACACCCAAACACGCACGCACACACAGGCACTCAGGGGCAACTAGAATGAGAGAGCATCCCAAGTAGGGGATCTGACATCCCGTCGCTGCTCGTTTGCGGTCGACGTCGTCGTCGACGGCATTTGCATGCCCGGCTGGCCATTTAACGTGTCCGTGTCCGTGTCCGTGTCCGTGTCCGTGTCTGTATCCGTGTCTATGTCTGTGTTGTGGAGTCGGAGGTGCAGAGGCGTGGTCGTAGCGCTTTGATTTCGTTAGGCGAAATCCGACGACCCACCCCTGCGAAACATCTCCGCCATCCAGCCGTGCCCTGCCCTACCCCGCCGCGTCCTGCCCTGCCCTGCCCTGCTCTGCCTATTACAGAGTCCGCACACGTTTTTCGTAAATGTGCATTTTTCGCTAAATGTTTTGTAAATGTTTCCGCTCCCAACTTTATAATTAGTTGGCATGAGGGCGGCGCTAAAGAAAACGCAGCGTCGCATCACATCGCAACGCGACGCATTGCAGCCCCGCAGGAAGCGGAAAAACGAGAAAAAGCACTGCGGAAATTATGTAAGTTAAGCGGCTGTCGCGTGAGCCACACAGCACGCAACACGCAGCAAATGCCAGAGCAATGCATGTGCATAACACCGCCATGCCAGCTCCACTCTGCTCCACTCTGCTCTGCTCTGCTCTGCTCTGATTGCAAGCCCAATGCAGATCCGAGCTCCGGCTCCATATCTGGCTGCATCTGCTGCTCCCTAGTTTTCTGATAAGTGCATGCATAGAATACAGCGGGACGTGACCAATATGACAGCGCCACAAGATTCCAATCTCTATAAGTTTAGAAAACTCGGCAGGCTTTTCATAATATTTCATAAACTTGATTTGCCAAGAGTCGTAATATTTCTATTTGCTTACTTTATAATCCACATTTATTAAAAAAAAACTTTAAAAATTCATATCAAATTGAGTTCGGCTTAGGACTATATCAAATCCGTGCATATARATTGCTGCCACGAGCTGTGTGTGTGTGTGTGTGTGACTTGCGGCTCCTTGGAGGCAATTTAATTAGATTTTCAGCGAAGATGTGCGCCGCGTGATTGAGGATTGCGGATTGAGCATTGAATCGCAGCTGAGCGAGTCACGCAACATTCGCAGCGACGCCTCCAATTGGAGTTTTAATTAAAAGCAACTACGCAAGTTTCTGCCTCGCAGCCTCGCATCCAGCCCCATAGATGCATCCACGCATTTGTGGCACCTGCTGCCATTGCTGCTCCTGCCAGCTGCTGCTTGCTCCTGCTGCTGGCGGCGACTTATTAAAAGCTGTTGACGTTATGCTAATTAGACCGCACAGCCGACAAATTGTCACCGCAAATCAATCAGCTCCCATACTCCCCAGCCCCGGCCTACGGAAAAAACAAAAACCTAATAAAATGACGGGAGCATGACCCAAAATGTCGCTCCGACCGCCAACACGGGCTGATTAACGTAATCGCGGCAAAGGGCAACAGCGTCCCTAATTTCAATGCTAATTTTTCAGCTGGCGGACTAAAAACTGCCAAAAAAA